GAAAGATAAGGCGGCTGTGTGATGACGCGACGAATTATCGCCAGCAGCAAGCCATGCCTGCGAAACAGACGATGGGCTCAACTTCGCAGCCGTCAAGATAATCGCCCACGCCGACAACAGGACGAGTACAGGATAAATTGAAGCCTGGCCCTCGGGTGAGAACTGAATTAATCGATAAATCGATTTGGTACCGGCGTACAGAGCCGACTGCGCACCCACCTCCTGACTATGCATCTTGACGCAGCACAGCCGCTGTCTGCCAGTGGTCAACCCATTGAAGAAGTTAGCTGGTTCCGATACTTGGACTCTAATAAACAAGCTAACGGGCAGGCCAAACAAGAAGTCGAAAGCTCGAAATGAAAATTTAAGTTGCTAGCCAGGCCACTGTGGTGTCGCTCAGACATCAACTTATATACTAAGCTGGTGATATACAGAGCATCCATGCATGCAAAGCATGACCTGTCAGAAAGGCAGACATTATTTCGCTCGAAGTCTTCGATCGTTGGTGCCTTCGACGCCTCTTAAGAGTCTCCTGGCAGGATACAATTGCCAATGTTGAGCTATATCGCAGGTGCTTCAAACAACGAAGCCGAGCATCATACACCCAGCGTCGCCGGTTAAAATGGTTTGGCCATATCCTGAGCAAGCCACCGACGGACATCTGCATATTGGTCGCGAACCCTTCTCGTAGTACAAACTAGAGATACCGACATGGCGGTCAACTGAAGACATGGCCCAACACCGTCAAGTCGGACATCGAGCGCATGGTCCTCGTGGCCCTTTACGGTTCGCGACACTGGAACAATCACTGGATTGACATCTGCGAAGAGCAGGCTTCCGATCGCCGCCGCCATCCGTAAAGCTGATTCATCCAACAACAGGAGCTAATCAGAACAAGTGCAAGTAGTAAGTCACCTCCAGAGCGGCTTCATTGATTAGCTTGTAGCCTTTTTCGGTTACTGCTGCTATCTCTGACGATGGACTATGGCATGAGTCTTAACACTAAGATAAATTTAAAAAAAGTTATTCCGGTGCACGACCAGCTCGACTCATTCACTTGCCAAAGAA